CCACCTAGATGGGGTTGAGATGTCCCACCTAGATGGGGTGAGATGTCCCACCTAGATGGGGTTGAGATGTCCCACCTAGATGGGGTGAGATGTCCCACCTAGATGGGATTGAGACGTCCCACCTAGATGGGGTGAGATGTTCCACACCAAGCCCTGGTGGGTTCTGGGCTGGTTTTTTGGGGGTATCGAGGTGGAATTGAAGCCCCAGATGAACTCACCTTGTATTCCTGGAGAGCATCTTCCAAGGGTAGCATGAGGTGGGAGCGGTGGGCTCGGGACTCCCGGCAGACGGCGCAGAGGAAGACCCCATCGTCTTTGCAGAAGATCTTCAGAGGTTCCTGGTGCTTCTGGCATCCTTCTTCCTCCTTCTCCTCCTCCTCTTCCTCCTCCTCCTTCTCCCTTCTGGCCACCTTCAAACTCAACCTCTTGGCCACCTCTAGGACTCGGGCCAACTCTCGGTTGGGTCGAATGTCCTTCTCGGGTGCCGTCTCCCGACATCTTGGGCAGGAGAAACCATCCGTGGACCATTCCCAACAACGGGTGATGCAACCTCGGCAGAAGTTGTGGCCGCAGTGGATGGAGACGGGGTCCCGGAAATACTCCAAGCAGATGGGGCAGGTGGCTTCGTTGAGGAGCTCGGAGGTGGTGGTGGTGGTGGTGGTGGTGGTGGGGGTCGTGGTGGTGGTGGTGGTGGTGGTGGTGGGGCTGGGAGGAGAAGCCATGGGACCTCCCTCCCGCCGCGGTGGAGACGCCGCCGCCGCCGAGGAAGGGCGGTCGCTTTCATTTTCCACCCAACGAGGAGGTTCCTCCCACCTCCTTCCTCTTCCTGGCCCCACCCACCTTCTCCCCCCCAAGGTGGGGAGGGAGAGAAGGGGGTGGTGGCCCCAAGTCCCGACCCCCCTCCCCAAGGTGGTCTTCGTTCCCCAAAAATGGTTGGTTCTCCTGGTCCTTATGGGTTCCCACCAGCCGTGGTGGGGAGGAGGAAAGGATGGGGTTGGGACAAGGTCCTCCACGCCCCGGATTTTGGGGGTTGGGGGGCT